GCGGTGCTGTTGAGCAGCCCGCAGCAGTCCAGGTTCTTCTCCAGCTCCGTCTTGGTCTTGTTGCTCAGGAAGGGCCACGTGGAGCTGAACAGCCCCTCCTGTGGGGGGGGCACAGCACCCTTAACCTCCGGCACCCCCTCGGGGTGCCCCCCCGTGCACAGCGGGGATGGGGACACGCAGGGACAGCGGTGCCAGCACGGGGGTTGGCACCTGCCGGAGGCAGCGGGTCCCGCTCCGGGTGTCCCCGTGCGGGGGCAGTGCCCCGCTGGCCACAAGGGACCTGGTGGCCCTCACGCGGGACTCACCTGGCGGCTCCTGTTAATGGCCAGGCAGGAGCAGGAGACGCCGAACTGGAAGATGAAGACGAGGCCCAGGATGATCATGTACTGGGAGGGCTGGAGTCAAGGCCACGTGCGCGGCAGCATCACTTCCGGGGGACCCGGACCCTGCGTGGGGCTGCCCCACAAGCTCCCCTTGTCCCAATGCCCCATCCAGAGTGGGGTGCTCCATGTCCATGGTGCCCATGGCACCCATGGGTGCCAGCCAAGCTTTACCCTTGCATCCTCCAGGCATCCCCCAAGCACTTTCCCTTCTGCTTCCCTTTTCCCTAGGGAAAGCAGAAGCACCAAGGCCGGACCCAGAGCAGGGTCGGTACCAGGGGGTGGCTCCCCGGACCCGGCGGGGCAGCCCAGGCTGCTGGAATCCGCAGCTCCTCGGGAACAGGGAGCTCGGCCGCAGCTTCCACGTGGGAGCCGCGGGATACGGGGCGCTCGCCCGGAGCCGCCGCCGTGTCCCCCAGCCCGGCTCGCGCCGCCGCTGCGGCCAAGGATACGAAGAAGAGCATGACCTGGTGGTGGTGGATGGCGCCGATGAGGCCCACGATGGCGATGAGCAGCAGGAAGAAGCCCACGGCGATGACGCCGCCGATGATGTGGATGCTGGAGACGATGCCGAAGCCCTTGCCCCAGGCGGCCACGCCGATGAGCAGCAGCCCCACGAGCTGCGGGGCGATGCGGGGGGCATCAGCTGCAGCCCCCCCAGCGCCTCCTGGCTGCCCCCCCYGCCCAGCCTCAGTTTCCCCTGGAAGCACCAGGGGCGGATGGAGGTTCGGGGGACGGGGCAGCCCCAGGGGGCTCYGCTCGGGGGGCCCTCCCGCTGCTCCGGGGGCTTCCGAGCAGCAC